ACTACTGATGTCAACACTAGCTCTTTTAATATTTAATACCTTAATTTTAGGAAATTAAGGAAATTGCTGGCTATGACATGAAGCACATGGAAAACCATATGCATGTCTATAATGCATACAAAATGCGTACGTTAATGTGTGTTAATCCTAGGGTCATGAAATTCAGTTGAGTTAGGCCCTGGACCTGCACTTTACAATGCATAGATGGGCTGATGTGCCTATAAAAAGCCCCCTTGATGTCCGTGGGGCTGCAAGCAAGTGTAACTGCCCACTTGCACATTATAAATTACAGCAGTGGTTAGCCCTGCAAGGAGTTGATGCCTTTGTGTGATGAGTCATCATGAGCCTGAGTCTGATGAGTCATCTGAGGTAATTACTTGGGAGTCCTAGGGATCCAGCGAATCCACAAGCAGGAGTCTAATCAGGTGACCCCAAGATAGCTAGCTAGGCTCCTAATGAAAGCAGACACTCAATGTCACTAAATTGTCAGGGATACTCCCTGCTGCCTGGTAGCTCTGATGCAGTGCTCCTGACCCTGCTTGTGCCTGTTCCAGCTCCAGTCATAGCTGGCCATCCCATTGTCCTGACGCTATGCCATTGCCATACCCAGGGTATAATCTAGACTGGTGAGTAGCTGTATCACCTGTGCTCTCTAACCTGTGGTGTCTTTTACACTGCTTTCTGGTGTTGCCTCCACTTCTGGACTGCTCATCCATAGCTGGGAATGACTTACATGCACTTTTCAGAGTAGCAGCCATGTTAATCTGTATTCGCAAAAAGAAAAGGAGTACTTGTGGCACCTTAGAGACTAACCAATTTATTTGAGCCTAAGCTTTCATGAGCTACAGCTCACTTCATCGGATGCATTCACTGGAAAATACAGTGAGGAGATTTATATACACACGGAACACAAAAAAATGGGTGTTTATCATGCACACTGTAAGGAGAGTGAACAACAGACTGGACTTCTACATAGAGTGCTTCCGCCGACGTGCACGGGATGAAATTGTGGAAAAGCAGCATCACTTGCCCCATAACCTCAGCTGTGCAGAACACAATGCCATCCACAGCCTCAGAAACAACTCTGACATCATAATCAAAAAGGCTGACAAAGGAGGTGCTGTTGTCATCATGAATAGGTCGGAATATGAACAAGAGGCTGCTCGGCAGCTCTCCAGCACCACTTTCTACAAGCCATTACCCTCCGATCCCAATGAGGGTTACCAAAAGAAACTACAGCATTTGCTCAAGAAACTCCCTGAAAAAGCACAAGAACAAATCCGCACAGACACATCCCTGGAACCCCGACCTGGGGTATACTATCTGCTACCCAAGATCCATAAACCTGGAAATCCTGGGCGCCCCATCATCTCAGGCATTGGCACCCTGACAGCAGGATTGTCTGGCTATGTAGACTCCCTCCTCAGGCCCTACTCTACCAGCACTCCCAGCTATCTTCGAGACACCACTGACTTTCTGAGGAAACTTCAATCCATCGGTGATCTTCCTGATAACACCATCCTGGCCACTATGGATGTAGAAGCCCTCTACACCAACATTCCACACAAAGATGGACTACAAGCCGTCAGGAACGCTATCCCCGATAATGTCACGACAAACCTGGTGGCTGTACTTTGTGACTTTGTCCTTACCCATAACTATTTTACATTTGGGGACAATGTATACCTTCAAATCAGCGGCACTGTTATGGGTACCCACATGGCCCCACAGCATGCCAACATTTTTATTGCTGACTTAGAACAACGCTTCCTCAGCTCTCGTCCCCTAATGCCCCTACTCTACTTGCGCTACACTGATGACATCTTCATCATCTGGACCCATGGAAAAGAAGCCCTTGAGGAATTCCACCAGGATTTCAACAATTTCCATCCCACCATCAATCTCAGCCTGGACCAGTCCACACAAGAGATCCACTTCCTGGACACTACGGTGCTAATAAGCGATGGTCACATAAACACCACCCTAAACCGGCAACCTACTGACCGCTATTGCTATCTACATGCCTCCAGCTTTCACCTAGACCATACCACACGATCCATTGTCTACAGCCAAACTCTACGATACAACCGCATTTGCTCCAACCCCTCAGACAGAGACAAACACCTACAAGATCTCTATCAAGCGTTCTTACAACTACAGTACCCACCTACTGAAGTGAAGAAACAGATTGACAGAGCCAGAAGAGTACCCAGAAGTTACCTACTACAGGACAGGCCCAACAAAGAAAATAACAGAACGCCACTAGCCATCACCTTCAGCCCCCAACTAAAACCTCTCCAACACATCATCAAGGATCTACTACCTATCCTGAAGGACGACCCATCACTCTCACAAATCTTGGGAAACAGGCCAGTCCTTGCCTACAGACAGCCCCCCAACCTGAAGCAAATACTCACCAGCAACCACACACCACACAACAGAACCACTAACCCAGGAACCTATCCTTGCAACAAAGCCCGTTGCCAACTGTGTCCACATATATATTCAGGGGACACCATCATAGGGCCTAATCACATCAGCCACACTATCAGAGGCTCGTTCACCTGCACATCTATCAATGTGATATATGCCATCATGTGCCAGCAATGCCCCTCTGCCATGTACATTGGTCAAACTGGACTTTCTCTACGTAAAAGAATAAATGGACACAAATCAGATGTCAAGAATTATAACATTCAAAACCAGTTGGAGAACACTTCAATCTCTCTGGTCACTCGATTTCTGACCTAAAAGTGGCTATTCTTCAACAAAAAGACTTCAAAAACAGACTCTAGTGAGAGACTGCTGAATTGGAATTAAAATTTGCAAATTGGATACAATTAACTTAGGCTTGAATAGAGACTGGGCGTGGTTGAGTCATTACACAAAGTAAAACTATTTCCCCTTGTTTATTTCCCTCCCCTCCCCACTGTTCCTCAGACGTTCTTGCTAACTGCTGAAAATGGCCCACCTTGATTATCACTACAAAGGGTTTTCTCCCCCCCTTCGTGCTGGCAATAGCTCATCTTAAGTGATCACTCTCCTTACAGTGTGCATGATAAACACCCATTTTTTCATGTTCTGTGTGTATATAAATCTCCTCACTGTATTTTCCACTGAATGCATCTGATGAAGTGAGCTGTAGCTCACGAAAGCTTATGCTCAAATAAATTGGTTAGTCTCTAAGGTGCCACAAGTATTCCTTTTCTTTTTACATGCACTTTACTGACAGTTGCGCCCAGGTTTTTACCAGCCTGAAGTATACTGCAGCAGACTCCCAGTCCCAGATATTTCCCCAGAAATGTACGTCTTGTATTGCCCAGTCCTCTCCTGGACATGCTCATCATTTTATTAATAGACCATCATTTTATTAATAGAAATGATGTGAACAAATCCTGTTATCCCAAGTGGAGTTTCCCAAACTCTTCAATGCAAACACTCTGGTTTAGATAAAACAACAAAGAGATGAATTTTAAGTCACTACAATTAATGAGGCATACAAATCAGAAACGCTTACAAGCAAAACAAAGATAAAACACAACTCATGTCTCATTTAACAAGCAATGTTAAATTCGAAGTAAATGTTTTCCGCGCCACATGCTCTCAACAGTCTTACTGGCCAAACTTGTTAGGCCAGGACCCCTTCTGCTGTTTAACAGCTACTTCCTTTGTTCCTTCTGGTGCAGTGACTCAATGGACAGAGAGAGGGGTGCTCTTTGGATGTCTTCCCCTTTCTTTTTATAGTTCTCTTCCTCCTTTGAGAAGCATCTGCAGCTGAGATTCAGGAGACAAAAAGTTTGTGTGGATGGGAACATTTTTCGCTCATGCCCCCTTTCCTGCCAAAGAATGACCATTTAGTAAGTAATGGCCCATTGACCCTGTTATCACCTGGCCTGAGGCATCAGCTTGCCTTTTGTCTCTGAGGAACTGGTTTGACCACTACCCAGACTTGGAATATGTTTTAGTAATACCATAAAGTGGAATTTTGTAATTTACATACAATGTTGCTAGATGTATTTTACCAGGACCATAATGACCAGCAAATTAAGTTTTCAAATGATACCCCACAAGGCATACTTTGTACAAAGATTATTACAGTAGTGCGCAAGGGGTGAATACAGGGGTGTACAGTCTGTTGCACCCGCATAAGCCTGAGATAAGGAAGAGCGTCATAATGATGGAACTTACAGTGAGACTAGATTTTAAAACATAATGTAAAAAGTGTAACAATTACTGTTATCAAAAGAGCACCAACAGTATAATAGCATCAAAATAAAAACACAAATGTCAAATCTTAAACAAATAATACAAGTCCTGGACACATCCTACGGGGGCTCACACAGACACCATGAATAAAAAGAAATTGAACATAAAGCATCAAATGTTGATTTATACAATTTAAGCCCAAAGCCTGCAACTTCTTGTGCAAGAGTGAGCTGATGTGCCTGCATGGTGCCCCCTGAAGTCAGTGGGGCTCTGCCCAGGCTCAGCAGTCCATTTGCACACAGGGAATTGCAGGATTTGGGCCCTACATCAAATCCTGCACTTCAGAACACAGTGAATTCTAAGAAAGGAAATATGAGTGTGAATGCTAGGTAAAAATGAGAGGGCATAGCTTTAAGTGATTCTCTACCTGATCCATTATTGGCATTATCCAGAAGAGATTCTTTACCCTTGATCTTGTTTATCGTTATAAAAGTAAGATTATAACTTTAAAAATCACGATTTAAGCATAGTTTTGACAGGAAATTAAGCTGAAGGGCAGAATTCTGGAGAGAGACAGTCATCAGCAAGAAATATTCTTCTCTGTCTGTCTTAAGTCACCTTAAAAACAGCCTGGAAAATATTCACTTTTTACAATTTTTTTTAGTAGTTTCCATGGAGTGAAAACTGAATTGAGCCAGCCTATGGCACAGTTGGCAAATGTGTTTTCTCAAGTCGAGTACTGAGAATTGTGTTCCGTTACGCGTCAGGTTCTCTGACAGCTCTGCTTCTTTCAGATTGTTTAGTCATGTTGGTGTACAAGGATAAATCTGAGCGAGCCAAAGGACATAAGGAGAGGAGCAGTGTGACCTTAGAAGACATCTGTGGCCTGGATCCTGGGCTCTCCTATGAGGGCTTAAATCACACACTTGCTATCATCTGTCTATCTCAAGTCGTGATGCTGGGATTTGACAACAAGGAAACTATGTATGCATGGGATGTACGGATTCGCTACAGTTTGGGGGAAGGTAACCTTTGTCTTGTCACAGTCTTCTCTTTTGGAAAGAATGCAAACAAAACCCTTAGTTGAAAGGGCCCAGATTGTCACTGGCCTTGGAGCCAACAGCCTTCACTTCCTTGTGCGCTCCAGGTCAGCTGTCACATGCAGTGTGTAACGTGTGTGTACTGCCCACTAGAGGTGTGCCACAGAGAGGGTAAGGTAATAACTGCAACGTGCTTCTACTATCTTCTTTGGCTCAGGTATTAAAGGCTTGTGTTTTGTGGAGCTGAGGGGCCAGGGCTCTAGTCCTAGCTATCCAAGTCAGAGGTTTGTCAACTTTAGCTTTTAATTGTGTCTATAGCACATGGATTCATGACAAATCCTTGTGCTCAGGGAGGACAAAAACTATGAGTGTTAGAGCCATGATTAGAACCCAGGAATTAATACCCACTCCCAGTTCTGTCTGATAGACTAGATAATGAGCAGTGCTGCTGAACATCCCCTCTCAAATACATGTAATGGGAGAATCTCATAGTAAAGATGCCATTCTCACCTGTACGTTTAACTTTAATCTACTATGTCCTTCATTTTCAGATCTGTAGCTCTGAAATGCGTTGTAGTGGCCGACAATTTATTATATGGGGATAATCCAGGGTAATTGGCTTTTAGTGTTTGGTAAAGCATTAGGACCATACATTTATTATTACTGATGATCATTATTATTTATGTATAATTTATCACCTGTTAAGTGTTGACGATGGGCGTGTCACTATACAAAGACACCCTTGCCTCGGAAGCTTATGGTCTAAAAGACAGATGCAGATAACTCTAGATGCACTGAGAATTGTGGAGGAGGGTGCAAGCTTGGCAGGGTTTGTTTTGTTTTCCTGATTTCATTCTAATGCAGTGTTGGGGTGGGGAAAACGTGTAGTATAAGTTTGTGTGCATGGGGTGTGTGTGTGTGGTAGAAGTGAGCTGAATGAGGTGTAGGGGGAACCTGCTGTATCAGGATAGAGAAGTTGTTTCAGGCATAGGGGGCAGTGTGGAAGGCATGGAGATAGGAGTTGGGGAAAGAACTGGAGAGGCATGAAGGTTGGCACAGTTGGCAGAGCAAGGACAGGGCTTATTGAAAGGACAGAATGGAGTACGTAAAACTTGGTCAGGAAGAGCTCTTTGGAGGCCTTGGGGAGAACAGTTTCAGTGGAGTGCAGAAGCAAGACAGGAGGCAATTCAGGAGGGATTTAGAGGAGAGGGAGTTAAGGTAGTGGGTGTACACAGTCCATTCAGTTTAGATGTGAAGGAAACCAGGGAAATGGGACAGTAGTTGTTTGAGGTTTGGTTCTTTGAGGATGGGGACAGTAAAATGTGTTTGTATGCCATGGGGCAAAACGGGGAGGGGTGGGCGGTTTGGAAATAGACAGTGAGCAAGATACCTGAGTCTGACTGAGGTAAAGGAGAAAAGGATATTAGGAGGGGATGGAGGAAACTTACAAGAGAACCTGACAATTTTCTCCTTGAAGTCAACGAGCTCCTGGGCTGAGGGGGAGGTAGTATGGCCTGTGTTATGCAGGAGGTCAAACTACATGATCACCAGGGTCCCTTCTGGCCTTGGAATCTATGAATTTAAGGATGGTGGTTAAGGACTTGAGGGGGCAGTAAAAGGTGGCAAATGAGCATTGGTGGTTGTAGGTATGGGATACCATTAGGGAGGAGGACTGGAGCTATTTTTCAAGGAAGATGGCAGAACAGAATGAGGAGTGGGTGAACTTGGAGTGGAGAGTTTCCTCCAGAAGTGTTCTGCAGAGGGAGTAGATACAGAGGGAGCTAGTGAGATGATGGTGGGAGAGAGAGGCAAGAGAGGCAGGGTTAGAGGATCCAGTGGAATTAAGGGAGCTAACTATAAAACTGAGGGAAATGAGAGATTTCAGAGTAACAGCCGTGTTAGTCTGTATTCGCAAAAAGAAAAGGAGTACTTGTGACACCTTAGAGACTAACCAATTTATTTGAGCATAAGCTTTCGTGAGGTACAACTTACTTCATCAGATGCATGCAGTGGAAAATACTGTGGGGAGATTTATATACACAGAGAACATGAAACAATGGGTGTTACCATACACACTGTAACAAGAGTGATCAGGTAAGGTGAGCTATTACCAGCAGGCGAGCAGGGGAGGGGAAAACCTTTTGTAGTGATAATCAAGATGGGCCATTTCCAGCAGTTGACAAGAACATCTGAGGAACAGTAGCAGGGGAGGGAAGGGGGGAAATAACCATGGGGAAATAGTTTTACTTTGTGTAATGACACATCCACTCCCAGTCTTTATTCAAGCCTAAGTTAATTGTATCCAATTTGCAAATTAATTCCAATTCAGCAGTCTCTCGCTAGAGTCTGTTTTTGAAGTTTTTTGTTGAAGAATTGCCACTTTTAGGTCTGTAATCGAGTGACCGAACAGACTGAAGTGTTCTCCAACTGGTTTTGAATGTTATAATTCTTGACATCTGATTTGTGTCCATTTATTCTTTTACGTAGAGAAAGTCCAGTTTGACCAATGTACATGGCAGAGGGGCATTGCTGGCACATGATGGCATATATCACATTGATAGATGTGCAGGTGAACGAGCCTCTGATAGTGTGGCTGATGTGATTAGGCCCTATGATGGTGTCCCCTGAATATATATGTGGACACAGTTGGCAACGGGCTTTGTTGCAAGGATAGGTTCCTGGGTTAGTGGTTCTGTTGTGTGGTGTGTGGTTGCTGGTGTGTATTTGCTTCAGGTTGGGGGGCTGTCTGTAGGCAAGGACTGGCCTGTCTCCCAAGATTTGTGAGAGCGATGGGTCGTCCTTCAGGATAGGTTGTAGATCCTTGATGATGCATTGGAGAGGTTTTAGTTGGGGGCTGAAGGTGATGGCTAGTGGTGTTCTGTTATTTTCTTTGTTGGGCCTGTCCTGTAGTAGGTAACTTCTGGATACTCTTCTGGCTCTGTCAATCTGTTTCTTCACTTCAGTAGGTGGGTATTGTAGTTGTAAGAACGCTTGATAGAGATCTTGTAGGCGTTTGTCTCTGTCTGAGGGGTTGGAGCAAATGCGGTTGTATCGTAGAGTTTGGCTGTAGACAATGGATCGTGTGGTATGGTCTAGCTGGAGGCATGTAGATAGGAATAGCGGTCAGTAGGTTGCCGGTTTAGGGTGGTGTTTATGTGACCATTGCTTATTAGCACCGTAGTGTCCAGGAAGTGGATCTCTTGTGTGGACTGGTCCCGGCTGAGATTGATGGTGGTTTGGAAATTGTTGAAATCCTGGTGGAATTCCTCAAGGGCTTCTTTTCCATGGGTCCAGATGATGAAGATGTCATCAGTGTAGCGCAAGTAGAGTAGGGGCATTAGGGGACGAGAGCTGAGGAAGCGTTGTTCTAAGTCAGCAATAAAAATGTTGGCATGCTGTGGGGCCATGCGGGTACCCATAGCAGTGCCGCTGATTTGAAGGTATACATTGTCCCCAAATGTGAAATAGTTATGGGTGAGGACAAAGTCACAAAGTTCAGCCACCAGGTTTGCCATGAGATTATCGGGGATACTGTTCCTGATGGCCTATAGTCCATCTTTGAGTGGAATGTTGGTGTAGAGGGCTTCTGCATCCGTAGTGGCCAGGATGGTGTTTTCAGGAAGATCACCGATGGATTGTAGTTTCCTCAGGAAGTCAGTGGTGTCTCGAAGATAGCTAGGAGTGCTAGTAGCGTAGGGCCTGAGGAGGGAATCTACATAGCCAGACAATCCTGCTGTCAGGGTGACAATGCCTGTATTCCTGTGTAGAGTGGGAGTGGAGGTTTGGGGACTACACTGTAAAAGTTACATTTCAGGAAGGAAAGACTGCTGCTTTCTACAGCTACATCAGAGTTGGGCCTATACCACAAAGTTTCTATCCAGATCTAAACTTTCCTCAAATTTGGGTGTGTTTAAATCTAGGTGTTGACTTGGCACATTTTAGGGGTGATTCTGGAACTCTAGCTGTCGATTTTTTATTTATGCAGCAATTGGAGCTTGCAACCATTAGTTACCCTGTTCATCATTTAGATGTGGTGGAACAGAACCACTAATCTCATAGTCTGGTAGCCTCTAAACTAGGGCTACTTACAAAGCTCCATCTTGTACAAACAGAAGTAACGTCCGAGTGATGTCTAAGTTGATGTAAGACTGAATAAGGAACCTTCTATAATCAGCGATGATTTGGTTTCACTTTGGTAGTGTATTGGATTTTTCTAAATAAGTGGTAATAATCACACAGCAGACAAGCAATATCACCTGAACACAGATTTGTTCCCCAGCAGTGTTTTGGAGCCACGCCATAAGTAGAGCTATGGTGAGTTCTCTCTCTGGCTTCCTTTTACATTTCTCTTGAATTACTTTCTGGCTAATTCTGCTAGGACCTTAGGGAAATTATCAAATGCAGGTATAGATGAGGAGTTGTCTGGCAGCTAGATGGTAATTTATTGAAGAACACAGCAGAATACTTATATGAGAAGCAAAGATCAGATGCTGTTAAATTTCCTGACATTTTAAAGGTGAGAAAATCTAGTCAAGGAGAAGGGAAGAATAGTTATAAGAATTGGTTCTTTAGTGCTTTCCCTGTGGATTTTAGTGATGAGTAGGCAGTTTTTGGGCTTAGTGTGCACCTCTGATGCAGAGGAAATTTTAAATATTTTAATATTTTAAATATGTAGTAATACTTTAGATCAAGGTAATCCTTAGGAAGTTGGTCAGTTTCGAGGTATCTGTCACCTGAGAATCCACTAACTTCCTGGGATACAGCAATAACAACAGTACTCAGCACCTTTCATCCATAGATCCCGAAGCGCTTCACAAAAGTGGGTAAGCGTCATTATCCCCATTTTACATGTAGGAAAACCAAGGCACTAAGATTGGGGATGACTTGTCAAAGGTGGCAGAGTGAGTCAGTGGCATAGCTGGGAATAGAACCTAGCCTGCTGCCCTGTCTACTGAACCACATGGATAGTACATGTGGGGAGGAGAGTCTGTGACTGTTGTGAGAATAGGATGGGTAGAACCCCGTGCCTAAAGTGAACCCCTATCTAGTTCTTGGGGTATCCTCCTGATCAGTCAGCTCCTAGTCCTGCCTTCAGCCTAGGAAACGTCAGAGCAACTCAGAACAGCCAGAGAGAGGGGTCAACACTCAGTGGCTTCTTTCTAAAGAGCAGGCTGGAGGGTGAGAGCAGGAAATGTCAAAGTGAGGCCCTCCATTCACACCCTCCAATTTCAGCAGCAACGCAAGCGCCTATGGAGGCCTGACATGGCGGAGGAGGAGGGTTCATTTTGAAGAAGGAGGGTAAAGGAGGTGGGGAGAGGTTCAGCAAAGAGTTGAGCAATCAGTGGAATGGAATGGAATGGACTGCATCTAATGAAGTGAGCTGTAGCTCACGAAAGCTTATGCTCAAATAAATTTGTTAGTCTCTAAGGTGCCACAAGTACTCCTTTTCTCAATGGAATTGAGGTAGGGTGTGGCCAAGATGTCTGGAGGATTCTACTCCCTATTGGAATGCAGTTATCTGGGGATGAATATATTTGTCCTTGAGTCCTGATGGTTAAACATGAGGTGAATCATTTGGGGAAGGCAACAGGGGTAGGAAACGAGACCACTGAGGAACACATCACCCTTTAAGGATGTTTGGGAAAAGCTGTCTCTAATCAGTCATGTTGCTGAACTATGGCTCACAGCCTAAATGCATTGCTCCAAAAGCTAAATTGGCCTAATATCTGTGCAAGTGATCCATGACTGCCATTTAGGGTTGCCAGTTTTGGTTGGACTTATTCCTGGAGATTTAATCACACGACATAATCTTTAATTTCTGGAGACGCCAGACCAATCTTGTAGGGTTGGCAACCATACTGCCATTGCCAAGATATCTGGGTGCTACCCAGAACTATTAGAGGGGAAAAAAATGCTCTGAGTTCCTTATCTGATAATAGTAGATCCAAATGGCATAGTAGCTAGGACTCAGTCTACACAATACTATTAAATAAACTGGTTTCTGTTACAAACATGCTTGTTTTTTTTCCTGCTTGCTACCATAATTAATTGGTTTATTTGTATTTTTTTTTTTTTTTGCCCACGAATAGTTCATAGGTTTCATGTTGCTGTAGCACCTGGCACTAAGCTGGAGAGTGGACCGGCTACTCTTCACTTCTGCAATGACATTCTAGTCCTCGTAAAAGACCTTCCACCCACGGTCATGGGGCAGTGGAAGCTCTCAGATTTGCGCCGATATGGAGCGGTCCCTAATGGATTCATCTTTGAAGGGGGCACCAGGTGCGGCTTCTGTAAGTACAAATGGAAACTGTCATTCTAGTTTTTTAAAATCTATTTGCAGATAAATAAATACCAGTCTGATTAATGTGCAAGTTAGGGACCTAATCCTGAAGCTCTTCTTGTATGAGTAGTCCCATTGACTTCAGTGGGACTACTCATGTATGCAAGAAGCTGCAGGACTGAGCACTGTTATGCAGACAAAAATAGTATCGGTGTGATGGATGTTGCGTGAATATTGCTGGATGCCTTTCTGAAAGGTATACTTCAGTCAAACACAACTTTTTGCTCTCAGTTCAAGAATAACTGAATGAAATTCTACGGCCTGTGCTATGGATCAGACTAGATGATCCCTTCTGGCCTTAAATCTATTAAACTAAGATTATATTATCATTTGTATTGTAGTAGAGGATAGTTGTTTCCTCTAGGACTCAATACAACCAGAATCAAGGTTCTGTTTTTGCAGACAATAAGTAAGAGACAGTCCTTGCCTTGAAGAGTTTTATAGTCTAATTTGAGATGAGAAAAAACAAAGGCATGTAAGAAACAAAAGAAGGAAAGGGGGAGGGAGGACAAGGATAATGAAAATAAAATCCTGTGGTTATATAGGTTAGTTATTACACAACTTAGTGATTCTGGGTATTTCAGAGAAATGTCTTCGGAACCAATCAAAAGCAGATTAAGATTTATTAGGGCCCTGGGCACAAAGAACATTGGGGCTCCCCACACTATGGGGGGTCTTGGGGCACCAGAACTGGGCAGGGCAGGGGGGCAGGGGAGTCAGAGGGGCCATGCCCACCCACCCATTTTTTGACATGGGTGTAGTAGCTTTGTGCAGGCTCGCAGCAGCAGTGGCAGGGTGCTTCGCAGTGGGGGGAGATAAGGTGATCAGCTCCCCGCACTGTGAAGTGTAGCCCCTGCTAGTGGCGCCAGCCTCTTCCCAGTGTGGGGCCTGAGGTGGCCCTTAGCCCCCCTCGCTACGGGGCCCTGCCCCTGCTCCTCCTCCCTGAGGCCCTGCCTCCTGGCCGAGCTGGAGACCGGCAGAGCTGGGCTGTGGTAAGAGCCACCCAGGGAGCCTGGGCCACTCTGTAGGGAGCCCTGGACCCTCCAGCTGCCCTGGGTGGTGGAGACACAGGCCAGGGGCTCCTCACAGTGGCCCATGCTCCCTGGGCGGTTCTTACCATGGTCAGGCTCCAGCCTGGACAGGGGGCAGGGCCTCAGGGGGACGAGGAGGAGCAGGGGGAGGGGACACGATTCTGTTGCTGGCGGCCCCTCCCCTACTTCTACCCAGGTTCTGGTGCTCCTGCAGGAGCCCTCAAATTTGCCGGGGCCCTGGAACATGGGCCCTGTGAGCCTGTGCATTAATCCACTACTGGAACCAAGTCTCAGTGTATTATTTATTTTACAAAACTATCATATCAATCTATCCATTCAAATCTATCAGTTGATCAAAATTACATCAATCACTCTAATATAATTTTGCAGGATGCCAAATCCAAATAGTCCTTTAGCATCATATTTTCAAAAGCAAACTTTGGAACTGTGCTTGTCAGTTATGTGCATATCCATTTTCACTTTCAGGTCATGAAATCAGAGGTGCAGCTACTTGATTTGCATGTGCAAAAAACTGTTCATATGCAATTGATGGTTGTGTGTTTAAACATACGTGTATGCTGCACTGCAGGAGTAATTTCAGAGTTTGCGTTAGAAAATGTGGCCCTTAGTTACTTGTTGAAAATGCTAAATGTATTTAGGTTTTGAATGGAGCAGTTTACTGTGTAGAGTTTCTGCACAAGCATCTAAAATGGAGTGAAAAGTCCTTTAGAAGCTGTTGCTGTTTCCTGACCATTTGTACAGAGTACCAAGTTTTGAACTGATGAAATATGAAACAGCTGCAATATTTAGCTTCTCATCCCCACACTGCAGGGAATTATCATGGAAATGCCAAGCAACCTTTAAATAAATTTAGTAACAGATTGGTAGATTAAATCAGGTATTAATCTTTATTAACATAAGCACCTCAAAAGAGAGAGTATATCATTTCACTGTTTGAACGGAGTACTGTATTCACTTAGAACTAAGGCTCTCTTGGAGATAAGAAATGCTGTGATTTGTACTAGATAAATGGTACAAAAGTGATGTGATGCTTTGGCTTCAATTTTCCCCCCTGACTCTTCAAACAGATGCCTCAGGAGAAGACATTCTCCTTCCCTCTCTGAGCAATGGGGGCTTTAAATGTTGTCTTGATGAGCAGTTCTGTGGTTTGTGGGATGTTGCTATTGGAACATGTTGGCTTCAGAGTGTTTTGTTTTCTGCAAATTTCACTGGAAAAAAACGAATATTTTCCTGAAATTTCTCAAAAGTGAAAATGGCAGTTTTTGTACCTTACTGGCCAATAGAAAACTAATATGAAGTCCAGGCCTCACATGCCTGTAACTAACAAAACCTCAGCACTTCTCTTTGGTGCCTTCCCCTCCCTTTCCCACAGAGAGTCTCCAGTAACCACTAAAAATGTATCTGAAATCTGCATTGTTTAAAAGGTTGATTTGTTTGGTGCTTTGCTTAGCTGAGAAGAGGAGAATGTTATTACCATGGGTGTAAAGCAGAGAGATTTACTGCTACTTAGTGTACATGAGAAGAGAATGACTGAATGCAATTCCATTTGTAGTTTTCTTTCTTGACAGTAGAAATGTTAGGGGTAAGTGAAGACCAAAATGAAAATGCTTACTTAGCAGCCATCCTGCTCTGGAAGGATGTTTCTTCATTGGCTGCCTGACTAAGCCAAGAAATCTGGGAAATGCAAGGAGTTGAGTACTTTGGGGAAGGCATTTGTGCTGGTTGTCTCATAGCTGGCCAGTAAATTTATGCCATGGTGCTGTTTACTCCTGCGGTCAAACCACCTCATTGTGTAACATTGCTGCTACAAGAGGACATACAAGGACATGAAGTGTTCCCAGAGTGCAGCTCTGTAAGGAATAGTGAATGTCCCTTCAGTTAGGGTAGGGGTTCTCAACCTTTCTCTTTCTGAGGCCCCCCCAACATGCTTTAAAAATTCCACAGCCCAGCTGTGCCCCAACAACCATTTTTCTGCATATAAAAGCCAGAACCAGTGTTTAGGAGGTAGCAAAGAGGACAACTGCTTGTGGCCCCACACCACAGGGGGCCCCATGAAGTTAAGTTGCTCACTCTTCAGATTCAGCCCCTGGCGGTGGGGCATGGGGCCCCAGGCTTCAGCCTCTTGTGTTGGGGCTTCAGCTTTCTGCCCTGGGCCACAGCAAGTCGAATGCCAGCCCTGCTTGGTAGACCCCCTGAAACCTGCTCATGGCCCTCCAGGGAGCCCCGGACCCCTGGTTGAGAACCACTGAGTTAGGGGACAATCCAGTCATTGATGTTCAGCACGAGGACTTGACTGGTCACTGATGAGCTCCCCAGAGAGGGTGGGGAGAAATTCACACCCAAAGGCCACAGAGTGGCAGCATCGATATCCTATAGAGGCTTTTCCACCCGGATAACAGTATTAGGCTCTGTGGCCCCATCTATGGGGTGAAGGCAAAGGACTGTAAGGTAGTTGTAGATTTTCTGGCTTGGTCCCATGCTTGGCTCAACTGTGTCTGCCTCCGAATACGCTCTGCACACTTCTCCACAAAGAGGCCCCATGGAGCTGAGATCTATGCCATGTAGAGGGTATGCACCTCTTGTATGGCTTCTCCAAATCTTCACCCTCCCACCTCTGGCAGTGGAACTGCTTGGGTTCTGCTGTCTGGGGAATTTTGGCACCTAGACACCTCAGGGTGGGATTTGGCCCATACACATGCTCTCATAAAGTGAACTGAAACTGATTATTCACAAACCGTTATAAAAGAGTAAAGGGTGAAAATGTGTTTCAGCGGAGTCCAGCTATACCCCCTCACTACCCCTAAATTAAACTTTCTTTACAAAAATTATATACCTGTAAGAAATATTCCCCTAAACGTTAGAAAGACTAGAAATGAATAGATAATTGGACCAGCCAATTCCTAGTACCACACAATCCACTCCAGTACCTGATCTGTAGTACCAAGCCAGCCTTAACCTTTCCCCCTTATGTTCTGTAATGGAAATGGATATATACTGTTTATTATCTATAGTGTATTAATAATCTTTAGTTACAATTTGAAAAGGAATATAGTCCCAGGGTACATTATTTAAGAGTTCTATGTATTTTCTCAGTGTGATGTACTGATAGAAAAGGACAGAGTCAGAGTGATTGATCTTTGTGATGTTATTTAATATGTTGATGTTGAAACATGACTGTGTAAGTGTGTATAGACCTTACAAGTTTTGTATTGTCCACTTTATTAAATATATTGTGTAGGAACTAGCAAATATTGTGGGTTTGTTTGTAGTGAATAATGAAGTGTATATTAATGTCATAGTATATTACTAAGGATATATAGGAGATGCTCAGACATTTCTTATTAATGAGATGTTATTAATCAAGAATCTGTGCTATATATATTTCATGCACTATTGCTTTATTCAATAAAATACAGACTCACTAAAATGGTGAAAATTAATGAACAAAATAAACAAAAATGATAACTTAAGGATATAAAGCATCTCAAAATGTAATGTATTCTTTTTTGTCAATTGGAGTTTAGTTTTATGTGTATACTTCATACAGTAGAAGTAAACGCATTGTAGTTTATTTTTCAAGAATGACATTTCAGCAATATAGAATTTGCTACATCATCTCTTGAGTCTTTCAAAAGAAAGGTGTAGGCCACTAATTTTTTGCACAGTTAGCAAAGTGCTTATTACTGAGGGTCTATCACATAGTAAATAAACTTTTAGTTTAACGATTGGTGTTTATACCTTTAGCCACGTGAGTGTCCTAGGATACATAAAGGGCTTGATTTTCCCGACTTACACAGGGTAAATCAGAAGTATTGCCACTGAAGTTAGCGTAAAACTGTTATCAGTGAGAAAAGAAATAGGCCTGCTGTCCCCTATTGAAAGGGGCATTTTCACAGAC